TATATGTATATATGAAAAATATATCAAAATGGATGTGGGTACTCAAATGAAAGCTCTTGATGATTGTAACATCGGGATGAGCTTATATCTTTAAAGACGTCAGTAGTTAAAAAAGTACAATGCAATTCAACAAATCATTATTTAATAAAGCAAAATTTTATTTATCTGTATTTCACAAGTCACGGCAGTCATATAGTGACTGCAAGGTTGCTAGTTTATTAAAAAAAACAAAATACTATTTTTTTGGAAATAATAACTATGTTACATTATTAATACTTCTATAATAATAATATACAGCTATGTAAAATGATGCTCAGTCCTATCTCACATATATTTAAAAAAAAAATTAACTTAATTCAAGAGAAAAATTCTTGAACCATTAAAATGATTTTAAAGAGTTGCTTTGCTTTAAATCAAGCAAAAAAAATCTTAAATTAGAATTAGTTCTTTGTTTAAATAAATTTTATTTGATTCAAGAATTTTTTATCTTAATTCAAGACGTTGAAATTATTCCCAATGATTTTCTTGGTTTAAGAATTTTTTTTATTCCAAATTGAAGAACTTTTGAATCTAAGATAAGTTTCAAAACAATAAGTTCCTGAAGCAACAGAGAATCAGTTACTTTTAAAGAAATTTTATTGGAAAAATTTTATTTTATTGCAAAAAAAGAAACCTGAATATTTCGAAAATCTAATTTTTAGTTTTTTTTTACTTCATCTAATCCATGACTGATAGTATAATTCGAGAAATACTGCAAACGTCTGACTTTCTCGTAATAAGACTCTGAACAAATACTAACATTTAAAAATTTTATTTTTTCAAAAATTTGTCCGGTAAAGTATAATTTAAACCTATTAGATAAATAAGGACCTTAACTATTAGAAAAAAATTGAATTTACTCATAATCTAATATTTTTTATTTTACATTGTCGGCGAAAGGACCTCCTTAAGAATCTAATAATTTCTTCTTTTCGTGTTATGTAGCATAGCTGAAATCGGTGCATTATATAATAATAGATAGAAATTTAAATATAAATATAAATCTTCACACATAGCCTTAATTAATCTATTTTTTTGTTCTTTAGTTATTAAGCACCTTGATTAATTTATAGTATCTAAAAATAAAAACTTCCGTTAATATAGATTCATATTTTTACTTAATTTAAGTTATTGGCCCTTTGAGCTGTTGGGTTTAAATTAATTCAATAAATAAATAAAATACACAATGAAGAGAAGAAAATTTTGATTAAAATATACTTTGGTTTTGTGAAGTACAATTATTTCGTTACCAAATGGAATTTCGGTGATTAAATTGAAGAATTCGACAATTAGTTGTTGGTACTTGAATTCTGGTAGATAAATCGATATATTGAGTTAACTAATTAATTAAATGATACTTGAGCGAAATACCGTTGTTGAGGATCTGGTCCTAACAAATTACCGTAACAGATAATATATCCTTGGAGCAGCGTTAATCAAACAAGGATAGTGGTTGATGGGTTGATGGGTTGTTGGCCCTCGACATATTTGCCGTGGCCGTTAGACCAGTCAATGATTTTATTGGATACCCTGCTACAAATCTAGAGTAGCGGATGTTTGAGGCAGAAACTACATAGGGCCAGTGGCCACCAAATTCTAACCCTTCTTCATCGGACAAAAGTCTGGGATTTAATTTCATCCGTATCTGGACCGGTGTAAAAGACATTACCGAGTGAGTACTTGAACCCTGTAGTCCACTTCATAATGACCCAACTCAGTAGACTCAGTACACTTAGTTATACCCTGGTCAAACAGAAAGGGAAAGGGTCAGCATTCTCCGAAGAATATAGTTGAGAAGCTATCGGGCTGATAGCTACCCGGAGGCATTCCCGAGCTGGACCTTGCCCGCTCTCTACATTTCATCTGAGTCTGCAATTGCGTCTAGAGTCGAGATACATCGGTCGATAGCCCCGGGTGTGTTCAGGACATTACACGATATACCGAGGATAAGAACCAAGGAATTCATGGCTCGAGATATTGGGATATCTTGGAGTCCAAGTGTAAGAGGAAGAGGAAGAGATATGCTCCCGAGTCCCTCGTGAAATTTTTAGTCCCGAGGGGCAGGAGTATCGGTTCTTGAAAAGTTTTCCTTGTAAAGATGCTCGAAATTACGATCCGTATATTGGGGCGAACGGGAACAAAGTCAATTGTTTAAGGTTTAAGGGTTTCTTAATTAATTTTTTATGTTTGTTTGCTTCGATCTTTATCAAATCGTTCCTTGTTTTCATAAATTTTCAATTTTAAGTACGGTTTCAATCGAAATCAAGATTGTATTGATCTTGTCGTGACTTCAAGATGATACCATGGATTAAATTTCAAGACCATAAACAAAGACATTACAAAAAAAAACCTTGCAATGTCTTGAAAAGATCCAAAGTAATATAATAAATAATTTAATCAAGATTTTGTGTAGCGCTAACATCATAAAAACAATTAATTGATAAAAAAAATTCATTTTAAAAATTACTTTGCCTTAAGGAGGTCCTTTCACCATCAATGTTAAATAAAAAATGTTAGATTATGCATAAAATTAATTTTTATCTAATAGTTAAAGTCCTTATTTATCTACTAGTGAAGTTTAATTTATAAGTCAGACCTCAACAACTTTCTCGAATTATGGTATTAACTACCCATTAGATGGGGTAAAAAAAAACTCAAAATAAGGTTTTCGAAGTATTCAGGTTTCATTTTTTGTAATAAAATATATAGATTGCCGTGGAATTTATGGAGAAATTAATATTATAAAATCACAGAAAATTTTAAGTAACCTAGAGTCAAATTAATTTTTATATTTAACTATTTTTTTTTTAAATTTTCAAAATTTCAACAATTAATGCCTCACATACTATTTATTTTTTAATTTTAGTAATTTTTATGGGTATTTTTTTATTTTAATTTATCAGATATTGACTACTACAGTTGTTTTGACTCAACTGGTGCGAAAGGACATCCTTAATTCTAGAAAAATTCAAAGTAATTCAAGCCTAAGACGAGACTTGAATTTTGAATTTGAGATTTAGACAAGAAGAAAAATTTCAAGACCGGGATAAATATATCTTAATCTTGTACACTGAAAAAAAAAAATTAACTTGATTCAAGAGAATGTTTATAAAATAAACCCTATGCAGTTTGATTATCTAAACTATTTATTCATCAAACATTTTTAAAATTCGTACGAACATATGTTAGTAAATAAAATTTTTTTGAGTAACATGAAATAAATTAAAAAAAAAATAATCTCAAAAATTTTTGATAACTTCAATTTTACACTGAGAAAAAATATAAATTATGTCACCCAGACAAGGATTTTTTAACTCAAGAATTTGTTAAAATGAACAATTTTACACATTAACTTTTTTACAGAAAAATATCAAAATCTGTTCCATTATTTTAAGCACTTTAATTAACTTCAATTAGATAAAAAATTGTTTTTATAAATTCAAAAAATTTTTCTTGTGTCAAAAACATAAATTCTTAATAGAAGCATTTTTTTCTCAGTGTACTTTGAATTACTTAGAAGAATCAATATCCACGTCGTGATCCACCCCAACCTCCGTGACCATGGTTGTTATAATTGGACGGATAGTGATGTTGGTAATGATGTTGGTATCCTCCATTACCGCGATGATTTTGGTATCTATGTCCAGGATCTGGTTGAGCTGATGCCTCTCTTTCGACTCTTACAGGTTCGCCAGCTGTAACTAAAAATTAATTCAAAGTATTAATTTATACGATAACATTTTAATAATAAAGTAAATTAATTAACTAATAATTTACCGATAGGACCAACAGAGTTAGCAGAAATGTAGCAAACAAACAGCGCAAAGACAAACAGGAATAATCCCAATTTACTCATTGCAGCAAAATTATAATATGACTTTTTTTTAACACAAAATAGATGATTCGACACTGTCGACTTATAACAACTAAAGGATTTCCGAAGCTTATATACTGAAGATTCTCCATCTCCCCCGATCCAGGTCTAGAAAAACACTGATGACCTTCTCGCGGACAAACATTGAATGTCATTTGATTCCTTTCGACCGGTTGTGAGTAAACAAACCATAATTAATGATCCTCGATTAATAGAAGCGTCTTCGCGTGAAACGATTCTAGATTTTATAAATTTTATGCATAAAAAAGACTAATATTGTTTTGATATTTGAAATGAATTTCCGCGTGTGTATTTGGTATTCAACTTCATGACGCGAGTTTGTAATTAATGTGTCAATAAATTTTTCCTCCTTTCATTTTTTTATTAATGACATTTTAAGGGGAACCCCCTTAAAATGTCATTTTAAGCCCCGCCTTAGCGTTTGCGATTCTCGAAAAACATATTATTTTTATTCAACCGGTTTTTTAACACTGAATTTTGTTTCTTATTATTAAAAATTCATGCTCATTCTTTAGATAAGAATCTTATGCAGACGCATTATTTTTCTGATGCGCAGTATTGGATAAAATAATTTCTATCTTGATTATTTTTATTTCTTTAAAATTTTTAAATAATAAAAAGTTTTATTTTTTCGAAAAAATTAATCAGTAAAAATGTATAATTTTTTTAAAATATATTTTTTTTTCTTCGTAAATTTTTTATCAAAATCCTTTTTTATTTTTTCATTAATTTTGTAAAAAAAAAAAGAATAATTGAGATAAATCAATGACGATTAATAATTTAAAATATTTACTGTTTAATTTTAGTTACTACTATAATATGCTTTGATTTATTTTTAGTGAACTTATTAATATTTTTTTTTTAATCAATTAAAAGTTATTTGAAAAAAGCATGATTAATTTTCTTAAAAAATTAATAATTAAAAAATGAAGTATCTAAATTTATTTTTTTAAAATGCGTAATTAGAAAAAAATATATTATTAATTTTTGTAGAATTTTCGTAATTAGAAAAAAATTATTACTTAATTAATATTAACTAGCAACCTTGCACTATGTGACTGCCGTGACTTGTGAACTATAAATAAATAAAATTTTGCTCTATTAAATAATGACTTTTGTTAAATTGCACTGTACTTTTTTAACTATTGACATTTTTAAAGATATAAGCTCATCCCGATGTTAGATTCATCAAGAGCTTTTATTTAAGTACCCACATGCATTTTGATATATTTTTCATATATACATATATATAATATATATAAATATATGAAAAATTAATGTGGGTACTCAAATGAAAGGTCTTAATGAGTGTAACATCGGGATGAGCTTATATCTTAGAAAATCTCAATAGTTCACATGATACAAGATCGTTTCTTAATTATGTTAAATTACACTGTAATTTCTTGACTATTGACATTTTTGAAGATATAAGCTCATCCCGATGTTAGATTCATCAAGAGCTTTCATTTGAGTACCCACATGCATTTTTGATATATTTTTCATATATACATATATATAATATATATAAATAAATGAAAAATTGAAGTGGGTACTTAAATGAAAGGTCTCGATGAGTGTAACATCGGGATGAGCTTATATCTTAAAAAATGTTAATAGTTCACGAGATACAAGGTCATTTCTTAATTATGTATCTAGAGATAGAGTATTTTCGAATGCACCCTAAATACTTATAATAAATTGACTATTGGTGAAAATGATGTGAAACCATAAAAAGGCACAACTCCAGGTCAAGACTTTTCCAACGATGCCAAATTTAACCATAAAAACCAATTTTATCAAATAAATACACTGTTCTAATGATGAATTAAATTTATTTTTAATTTAACGAATATAAATACAATAAATAATTTTGTTTAAATTGAACCCGATCCCCTTTCTTGACTGTCGCAACAATTAATCCTCATAGTTCCCGAGCATTTGGCTGGTTTCCAGGGCTGCGGGACGTGTCAAGGGCGCAATAAAAGGACGCAAACCCAACACAAGGGTAGTCGACAGAGTAGAATTCGGAAACGGGGACATTTTGTCTCGAATTTTCGATACACTTACGGCGGTCAAAAAGTGTCTTTTTTATTATTAACAAACGCTGAGAAAAACTATTCCACGTCTCATCTTATCTCCGGTACCTTTTTATTTCTCTTTACTTTTTTTTTATTAGTTTTCCGACTCCTTTTAGCAGTCTGATGCGTGTGGAATACGCAGGTCGCGATCATCTGAATCATTTAAGATCCTTAAGGATAAATTTAGTGAGACATGTGACATCCAATGCCGAAAATAAAATTTACTTTCAACCCTCATATCAATAAACCCATCTATACTTACACTTATACTTTTTCTCCTATATATCGATACATATGAATATGAATAATAATAATAATAATAATAACCATAAAAAACAGCATTCGTAGGAAATGTGTATTGATTTACTTTTTTACCACTCGGTCCTTATTTTTTTTATTTTCTTATTCTAAATATAAAATACACTACTGATTTATTTCTATTGAGATATTGGAAATTTCAATTTATATTTTTTTTTTTTTGTAATAAAGACTTGTGAGCTCCTTAGAGTCATAACTTTTCTTATTTTCAATTTTTACGCGTACAAAAAAATTATTTCTATCAGGATTGTAAAATTTTCCATAGAAAAATAATATATTAACTAGCAACCTTGCAGTCACTATGTGACTGCCGTGACTTGTGAATTATAAATAAATAAAATTTTGCTTTATTAAATAATGATTTTTGTTACATTGCACTGCACAATTTTCACTATTGACGTTTTTGAAGATATAAGCTCATCCCGATGTTACACTTATCAAAAGCTTTCATTTGAGTACCCACATGCATTTTGATATATTTTTCATATATTGATATATATAAATATATAAAATATATGAAAAATTTATGTGGGTACTCAAGTGAAAGGTCTTGATGAGTGTAATGTCGGGGTGAGCTTATATCTTTAAAAATATCATTAGTTGATAAAATACAATGTAATTTCTTAATTATTGACATTTATTAAAATATAAACTCATTTTGATGTTACACTAATTGAGACCTTTCATTTAAGTACCCACATGACATTTTTTATATATTTCATATATATGGTATTTGTGAAATATATTAATATATAAAATATATGAAAAATTGATGTGGGTACTTGAATGAAAGGTCTTGGTGAGTGTAATGTCGGGGTGAGCTTATATATTTAAAAATATCATTAGTTGACAAGATACAATGTAATTTTTTAATTATTGAAATTTTTTAAAATATAAACTCATTTTGACATGACATTTTTTATAATATTTCATATAATATGGTATTTGTGAAATATATTGAATATATAAAATATATGGAAAAATTGATGTGGGTACTTGAATGAAAGGTCTTGGTGAGTGTAATGTCGGGGTGAGCTTATATATTTAAAAATATCATTAGTTGACAAGATACAATGTAATTTTTTAATTATTGAAATTTTTTAAAATATAAACTCATTTTGATGTTACACTAATTGAGACCTTTCATTTAAGTACCCACATGACATTTTTTATTTATTTTATATATATGGTATTTGTGAAATATATAAATATATAATATATATGAAAAATTGATGTGGGTACTCAAATGAAAGGTCTCGATGAGTGTAACATCGGGATGAGCTTATATCTTTAAAAATATCAATAATTCACAAGATACAAGGTCATTTCTTAATTATATAGATTAAATTTAATTTTATAATGAAAATATAATAAATTTTAAAATTAAATTCAAAGATTAACAGAAATATTTTTCATTAAAAATGTTTTTGAAAATTTAATTGCTTAAAACATGCGTAAAACTAAACTACTTAATTGCATCAATTAACAGTGACTCTGACACTGTAAAAAAAAATTAAATTAAATAAACAGAACAAAAAGAAAGATTTTTCCTCAGTAAAAAAACAAACTTTAGTATGATTCACCAGACGTTGTATTTTTCATAACTGTCTAACCCAGACTGTCTGCGACTCCATCCTTAGCTTCGGTATTAATATATTTAATTAAAGCCGTGCGATCCCACTAAGTTGCATACGGAGTACAGAGTACTGAAAATTAAAATGAAAAAGTTTATAATGAAAGTAATCTAACTTGGCGACTAAATATTTTACGCCTGCAACTTTCTAGTGCACTATGAATTATTTAATACTTGCTAATGAATAAAATTATCTTTATATTTTATATTTACATATTAAGAAGCAAACTTTTTCAGTATTATAGATGTATATTTATTGGTACTTTGCACACCTCATAACACCCAATAGTCACTTAAATTTTTTCAGAATTTACATCGCGTTTTAATTAAGCTTCGTAGCTTGCAATTACAAAAAATCCGGCTCTCCATTTATTAGTATAGATTAATAAATATTGAACTATAAAATTAAAATAAATAATAATGGTAATAATTTATTTGAAATAAAAAATTTGGAAAGCTTTTTATAAATTTTCGCGCTTACATCACGTTAAAGTTGAGTGGTCTTGTCTGGCATATTTGACAGTCAATACTACGAATGCATTCGTCTCTATGAATATTAAGCAGAACGAAATTGCGAGTAGTTGAAATGCAATGTGATGGTCGTAGACGGGGATGTCATTGACATTGTGCAGACGTAGACATACTTGGATGTAGATGAAGAAATAAACATCAGCATAACTATTGCTATTGGAATTGGAATTGGTATTGGTGTATCGCCCAGACTACACCTAAAGTGGGTTCTGATTCCAATTTCGGAATCGACTGTTACCATCAGACTGTCATATCTTAAAACCCAGAACCGTGCAGATAAGAGTTTTGGTAATTGCAATCTCACAATAGATGCTGCACAATTTATATGAAAAATTCTGATGATATCTATAAAGTGAGATTGGGGAAATAGTTATAGAGTACATTCAACGAAGATTATAAGTGACAATATCTGTGAGGCTAATGGAGTTTCGGATGTCAGATATCCCAGTGATGCTTTTGTTGTCGGCGCCAGATGTTCAAAAAGCAACAAGCTTATTCTCGTAAAAACCTTCCGTTGCATTATAATACCTATAGCGTTATATATTGAGAAATGACAAATATAAAATAGTTTTTTTTGCGATTCAAGGTTTTTGTGTTGATTCATTTTAGGAAACTGATGGGGTGTTGAAGGCCTGGATTTTTTTGTCATTAATAAATCATTTTTTAACTATTTTTGCTGTCCCATTTTCCAACACTGTGACTGAAAAAATTAATGCACTCATAGTTTAAAGTTTGCTGCACTGATAGAAGGATTTCTTTATATTTCATAAGCTTTATTAACTGTTAATAAATGATTTTTTAACATCATAGAATTTAGTAAATATTTATTAATGGTTAATGAATATTTATTTAAAATAAAAAACAAAAATAGCAATTTTCTTTTAGTTTAGTTTATAATACATTAGTTTAGGTATATAATACATTATGATAAGTATAAAAATTTAATTTATAATGAATTAACTAACAATTTTAAGAATCTTTGATGTTACTATAAAAACAGGTAAGAAAATTTAAGTTATAAAGAAGCTATATAATGAAGGTATTCTAAGAGTTTGAAGATTAATAAAACAAAGATAAGAACATGAGCAACAATTTATGATCAAACATCAAGATTAAATAAATAATCAAATATTTTATTTATGAAGACCTCCAATTAAGCTAGATGAATTTATAATATCCTCCGGTAGTTCTTCTCATAATCGTATAACTGTAATGACGAAAGAAGATTCATATTGAGTGGTACTGAAATTTGGGAATTTAAAGAGGATATTATTTTTCTTGGCTGCTAGTCTCTCAGAGCGTCTTACAGTAAGGTCTTTTGATATAAATAATGTAAATAATTTATAAAGATTTTTTTTTTTTGTTTATAAGTAATCTTCATATCATATGACATTGCAAGTGAAACAAATTCACTCAACGAAATATTTATTAAAATTTAATAAATTAAATAATTGTCTTCAAATAAATTAAATTATTAATAGTCAATGAATCCTTGAAGTGTGGAAAATAATTAAGAAAAAATTTATAATTCAGGATTAAATATACACAAAAATAATGATCATTCATGGAAAAAAAATTTTCTGGTAAAGTTGTAGAATTTACCTTGAATATTTTTTAAAATTGTTATAAACTCATCATGAAATATATAAAAGAGAGTTTCCCAAAGTTTATTGTTATTTGTATTCGTGATTTTTTTTTTCAGCTCACGTTTTACCCTATAACAAGATCCGGATGTCCAAGTTTATATACCTAGGAAAGAAAAAATATCAATTATTATGCACATATTTGATTTTCTCGAAAAACAATGTATCAAAAAGAAAATACGTATAATGCAGGGCGATCTTCGCTTGAAATAGAGGATTATTACGCTTTCAAGTATGAAAATTATTATCGTTAAATTTTCAAGATTATTTGAGGAGCTTATTTTCAAAAGGGTATCTTTTGATTTTTGATTAATCGAGACAAAAAACTAGTTATCTTAAATTATAAATATTTGTATTGAACTTTTTTTAATTTAGCTATAAAGTGCAATCAGTTATGAAGCTGCAATTCGATTTTCATTTATAAATGTTCATAATTCTCAAAGTAATTAGTATTTAAAAGTTCAGAAAACTGGTATTTTAAAATATGAAAAGATACCCTTTTGAAAATCAGCTTCTCATTTATAGAAATTAATTTTAGCAGTTAAATAAGTGTACAAAAAATTTTTCAAAAGATCATACTTAAATATTGCTGATTTTTCAATGTAAAATAGCTTCCTAAAAAATGTTCAGTAAAAGAATTATGGGTTCTATATTCTTTATACACTCTATTAAATGCCATGAATATTTTTCAATGGACTTTTAATTGATATTTCAATGGACTTTTAACTAAAAGTTTTCTCAAAAGGTTTCCAGTAAGAAAAGATATGGGCTTTCCATTCCAAGCATACAAATATAAATTTTCCATGTACAAACTAATGCGACGTTTATAAAAAAGTATTTTTTAAATAAGTAAACTATTTATTATACCATATGATACTTTCTACAATAATAATTAAATAAAGGCTAAAATTAATTAAAGATAAATGACCTAATTCCAAATTACCTATTAATTCATAGATCATTTCTTCGTTTTTATTATTTTCAGCCTTAACTTTTTCCATCAGCAGCTCAATCTATTTATTCTCATCAATAACTTTCAACAAGTAATAATATTTTAAAAATTACTAATTTATTTTAAATAGCGGTATAGAAAAAAACTCAGAAATTTCATTTTTTAATTAGAACATCTTGATGATTTCAAAAATTCTAATTATAGATAAAGAAATTAATATATTTATCTATCTTTGAGCTTTGTATAAGCATGGCAGTATATCGTCTCAAAAATCTCAACTAATATTATTATTTATTAATACATTGTATTTATTTTTAATATTTTAGTAAACCAAAAAAAATGTTTAATGTTTAATCATTCAATTGTTATAATTGTTATATATTGTATTATATTATATTATATTATATATACCCCCCCTTTTAATTTGAAATTTAATGATTAGGCATGTATTTTCGATAATTCTTCTTACTGTTATCTGAAAATGGAGACCCGGCACTAGTTTTGTCAAAGCTTGTCGCGACTGTTTTTTTATCAACAGCAGAAGGTCCAGACATCGCGTTACTTCTGTCATTATGATCGCTACTGACGACGCTTTCATTATCATCAAGATTGACGTTATAAAAGGAGGAAGGTGCAGAAGAAAGAGCATCGGCTTCGGAAGATTTGAAATTAGTGTTACTTGTCGCTACTGACTGTAAATCATTAAAAGCCATTACCGATGGACTTTTTTGAACTTGGTCCACTTCCATGGATCCGTTGGATGATTGAAGTGTACTCAATGAGGTACTGTCATCCGAATCTACTACCGATAGTGACCGATCATTGAAGGAGCTCAATTGAGCTCCTATTTGTTTCGCTCTTTGTTTAACTTCACGTGCAAGATTTGAAGTCGTTTGAACTGACGGTGAAGCAGACTTTGCGGCGCTTACAAATTCAAATGTTTCTTTACCAATCTTAGAAGATTGTATCAATTTGCCGGGAAGCTGCACGTAGTCGCGTTGCTTAAAACAGTCGTATGATTTTGTGACATTACCATTAAGATTTACATAGTCACGAATTATTTTGATTGGTTGACCCGGTTGTGTCTCGGCTACAATTAGCCCTTGGAAAGGATTTGTGAAGAATTCCATGTCTAATATAAGCTCAAATTTAATTAATAATTTTATTAAAGTTTAATATTTTTTATTGCTAAATAAATTTTAATCAATATTTCTCATCTAATAAATAGTATAAATTTATGAAAAAAATTTTTTTAACTATTTTAAATACTTACTTATCATTATTATTATTCAATCATGCATTATGTATGATCATTTTTTAGTAGATTTCATAGAAATCTAACTATTGCAATGGTCTTCATGACGAAACTTTTGAAAAATTTTGCTATATTCCGACTTAACTCGACGATTTGAGTCAGAAAATACATATGGTTCAAAAGTTTATATATTTTTTTTGTTTAAGATTTTTTACCATGAAAATTAAAAGTTTATATATGTATGTATATATATTTATATATATACACGATATAACGCGGCTTTTCACCACGATAGCGTCGCCAATTTACTATGGATCTTTATCAAACTCAACATACTTATTCCACAGATAGATACCGAGGTCAAGTTCGAAGATGAGCTTAATCGGTCAAGTAATTTAGAAATGCCATGATTTCAAAATTTTCAAAATCATGAAAAATCATAAAAATTTCCATTTCTTCATTTTCGTATTTAAATAACTTTTGAATGGGATAATTTATCGAATTTCTGCAAATTGCATATGAAAGCTCTTTAAATAAGCTTCAATTTGAGTACCATTATCATATGTGTAGTCCCAAAATTATGTCCTATTCCGCTACGCCAATTATGAAATTTGCTATTGCAGTCGTTTTTTTTGTTTTTTTCTTTACTGTACACCAGCAGTAAGTAAACAAATAACGGAGTTAGGGTGAAATAAGCTTTTAATCGCCGGTTTACTAAAAATCCATTATTTTTTTCTATTTATGATGAAATCTACTTTCATTTCGACTGCCAAATGGTCTTTTTTTTTATTTATTAATCCAAGTGTCATAATCAAGAGAATAAAGTAAATTTTGCGACAAATATATTTATGTGACAAAATTAGATTTTTATATCTTCAAATTTTGGTCTCTTTAACTTTATAACAACCCCCATGAAAAAAAAATATAAATAATATATATTTCGAAATATATAAAAAATATATATAATGAATATATTTATAATAACTAACTTCTGGCCGATTTTCATATATATTTTATATATTTTAAATATATTTTAGATATATTCAAGATATATTTTAAAATACATAATAAATACATAGCTAAAAATATAAAAAAAATATATTTTGAATATATATAAAATATATTTGAAATATATTAAATATATATGAAAATCGGCCAAAAATTAGTTATTAAAAATATATTTATTATACATATTTTTTATATATTTATAGATTTTTTATATATTTAAAATATATATTTTTTTTTCATGGGGGAAAAAAACTTCGTTTCAATTTCTGCCTGAAGAATTTTTTCTCTATTGAAGGTTCAAAAACAACTAAGGCTGTAAGAATGTAAACGAGAAGCATAGAAATCAAATTATTTTATTTTTACTTTCCTTTAGCTTCTGGTAAAAACGTTGAATACACTGATTAATTAATTAATTAATTTAAGGGAATAATTAGCATTTAAGAATTATAGCTTTGGTTTATATAGAGCCTTTGTATATTATATTATATAATATTGTTCATACTCTGTTACTATCTTCAACTATGTATTTATTGAGTAACCCTGTTATTGGCCCTCTGGGCTATTGGGTTTAAATAAAAGAAATAAGAAAATCTTAAAAATTCATTTTTCTTCACTTTCTTACTCGAATAACTTTTAAATGTAATAACTTATTAAATCTCTGTAAATTGCATCTGAAAGCTCTTTAAATAAGCTTCAATTAATAGTTTTTTTTTTTTTTTTTTATATAATCCGAGTAGTTTTTTGTTCTATTCATTATGAAATTTAAAATGACTAGTAACTGTTTATTTAATGAAAAAAAAATTTTCAATTATTCAATTTTATAAATTTATATTTAAATATATCAAACTAATGTTTCCATTAAATAATTATAAATATTTCTTCTTATTTTTAGGGTTAACAACTGATGAAGATGTACTAGTAGACAAATCTGAATCTGAATATAATGTTCTACTATCAAACTCTTCAGAAGACGTATCACTTCTATTGACCTTATAATTGTTATAGTCTCTAGAACTCGAATGAACTTTATTAGATGGAACTTTAAATACATTTTTAGGTTGAGTTTCTACATCCATAAAAGAACTAGGAACTTCTGAAGCCGAAGAAGATTGAGAATCAAATACTTCTAATGATGCAACTGATTTCGCACGATTATAACCAGGACTTTCTACGTTTTCTTGAGAATGATCCATAGACTCATTTAAAGTGCTTGCTTCGCGGTCATCAAAGGCGAGAATATCATCTTCATCATCTTGTTCAGCAGCTGCTCTGTTACTTTCTTTCAATTGTTTAGCGCTCAAGAATTCGACATCAACATTTTTTATTTCAGAAGCCTTAATCAATTTACCGGGAAGCTGATTGTAGTCGCGTTGTTTGAATTCGTTGTACGAAGAAACGAAGTTTTTGTCTTTAACATATTGATAACCGAGGTCATCAATAACTGTTACCGGAGAGCTTGAATTTGATTGAACTACAACTAGTCCTTGGAAAGGATTGGTAAAGAATTGCATGTCTAATAAAAGAGTAATTGATCAATTATTAAATTTAATGTACTTGATTTTTAATATTATCAAAGATAATTCTTGTTCTAATAAGAAGCATAAATAAATAAAAATTTTTTTTTACATCAGATTGATAGTTGAGTCATTCTGTGGTTATTTTATTACACAAGCTTATCTATTATTAATGAATAATTCTTGCAATAAATCAATTAATGTCGAACCAAGTGACATTATTAAATTTATTCCCCGATAACAACCTACGATTAAATTATATTACTGCTTTTATCGGCTATACAATTGCTTGAGATGATTTTTCGCTGTGTTTTATAATGCTCAGGACCTTATTGCTCTTTCAAAAGCTCAATTATTTTTTATGGAAAAGTAGATTCAACAAACGCGCGTCTGAATGTTATTATGTTAGTATAAATATATATATATATATATATATATATATATATA